ACTACAGGACCTTTTGAATCCCCAGGGAGAATGCAGGACTCTAACAGAATTGATAGCATCTCATCATCTGACCCAGGGTCACTTTCTTCAATATGGTCAGATCACCTCCTTCCTCAGAACCCACATACACCTCCCTGCACGCCCAGACACCAACTCCTCTTTCTCTAAGCTGATGGCACATTCATCACAAAAAATCTCTCTCTCTCGGGCATACTCTATACTTCGCCCCTCCCCGGAGGACACAATCTCAAAGTTACCCTGCTATGCCCACAAGTGGGCCACTCTTTTACAAATATCCCCTGAAGATACCTACGACCTGATGCTCAGGAGCTGGCATGCAGTGTGCAAAAATATATGTAGCGAACAGTGGAGAGAAATACAATTTAAATTAATTAACAGGGCTTACTGTGCCTTCAACTTTGGTCCCACACGTCCACATTCTCCATGGCTTCAAGCCTGCCCTAAATGTCATACACCACAGCCTAATCTAACTCACCTCTTTTGGCAATGCCCCAACATCCAAGGATTTTGGGAAAGTTTAATTCGCTATATGTCACGGTTGCATTCGCACTTAGGGTCGCTAACTCCCTTTTACTGCCTATTCCAGGTAATACAGGACCCCTCCTCCAACTCATACTCTTCATTGTCCCAATGGGAGCACTACTGCCTTTTGGCAGCTAAAAAGGAAATTCTTAGGGCCTGGCTTCTACCCAATCCGCCCACTCTGGCAGATGTTAAGACTACCTTACACCACCTCATGCTCATTCAGAAACTCGATAATAAACATAACCTCCACTTAACTGGTAGATTCTTTAAGACTTGGACTAAGTTCTTGCTACACGAGTTAAATACGAATCAATTGAAAGATGTAATGTCACTGTTTCAACACATGGTATTTACTAGCTAAATTGGATGGATCACTAGGTGAACTTGATGTTCTGTACCCACACCTATCTAACGTACAAGGTCGTGGGTATATACCAGCGTATATATGACTACAGAACACCCCTTTCCATCCACTTATAACCATTCCTTCCCGCTTCCTCCGAAACTAGGTTAACTTGTCAATATAATTTCAACTAGTGATCTGATAATATAAGATCACCCGTTTGTAGAATATGTGAACTTTTGCTTTCAATGTTTGATTTGAATTGTAGTATAAGATGTTATATTATTTCAAAGATGGAAATAATGAGGGAGCCGGCTGGCAACCTGTCTGTATACGTATATGCTTAATATATTTCATCTAACAGTTGCATTTTATATTGTATTTTGTAAAACCCAATAAAGATATACATGCTTAAAAAAAAAAAGCAAATAATTTTATGTAAGCATATTTTTGTTTAGGTTTTATACAGATTAAGATATAGATTTAAGTAGGGATGTCCCGATGCCCCTTTTTCAGGACTAAGTACAAGTTCTTCCCCTCATGTACTTGCCGATACCAATTACCGATACTTTTTTTTAAAAAGGGACAGGTGACTATAAATGATCCATAGTACAACTACATGTTATGTACTATGGATCATGATTTAACCTATTCATGTTAGCAGGGGAGAATTGTAAATCTATTGCTGGAGTATAGAGGAGGTGTGTGCTGTACTACATATACAGTACACACGTCCAGTACACTATAGCAATAGATTTACAGCCAGCCCCGTCCCAGCTTCCCTCACAATAATGATCGTCCCGGACTGGGGCTAATACTATATGGATCTCAACTGTGGTTTTAAGGGTACGGGTATCAGAGCAGCAGCTACACCTCACTTGCCCCGTTTTTGGTGGAGGCTGATAGGGAGCTGCTTCACATCATTTCCCGCTTGGGTGTGAATGGCTTAGTTACCACCAAGTATGGGGTTCAAGCTCAGGTACGTGAATGAGTCTGAAATGCACTCAACGGGTCTCTGTGCACAGCGGTGGTTAGCTAACCAGAAATGATGAGTATGCACAGCAGTGATATCTGAACAAGCAATGATGAGTATGCACAGCAGTGGTTAGTTAACCAGCAATGATGAGTATGCACAGCAGTGATATTTGAACAAGCAATGGTGAGTATGCACAGCAGTGATTTCAGCCCAGTAGACCTATGACACAGTCTTCCAGGCTAGTCAAATGAGGAGACCTGGTGCTATAGTGTGCTATAGCCCAGGGTACTTGCGTTACTGCTGGATATGCGTCCGGAGTCTCAGTAGTCGACTTGTTAGTCTAGTTCCAGAGGAGCGAATGGAGTGCTGAGTTGATCAGCGTCCTGCTACATCAATAGTTGGACGCCGATCAACTAACGAGCGGCGGCTTTAAGCCGAGCGCTCGCTCTAGAGGGGGCGGAGCTACAGGGCGCGCCTGCGCAGGACGTAGAGCCGGGCAGAGAGAGAGACGCCGGCGATCCGTGACGCGCCTGCGCAGCACGATCATGGGCCCTGCCACCAGAGGCCATCACCTGACGTGGGCGACCCGAGGAAGATTTAACCCATTCATATTAGCAGGGGATAATTGTAAATCTATTGTTGCAGTGCATACTATACATAGTACATGTACATATAGAGTGCACTGCAACAATAGATTCGCAATTATCCTCTGCTAACATGAATGGGTTAAATTATTCATAGTACAGGGCTACATATGGATCATTTAATCCATTCATGTTAGCAGAGTATAATTGTAAATCTATAGTCTCCAGTGTATAAGCAGTGTGTACTCTATATATGTATTACATATAGGGCACACACTGCTAATACAATGGAGACAATAGATGTGCAATTAGCCCCTGCTTAATAGTGCCCTTCCCCCCCTCCCCTTACTCACTGTGCGGGAGAGCAGCGACGATGTCCTTCAGTGCCAGAGAGCAGCGGCGAGTCAGCGCTGGTCCGGTGGGAGGAGCTCCAGCTGGGGTCCTAATTTAGCTGGCCCAGAGGTGCCTGCCAGCTAAGTTAGGACCCCACCTGGAACTCCTCCCGCTGAACCAGCGCTGACTCACCACTGCTCTCTGGCACTGAAGGACATCGTCGGCGAAGAGGAGCATCACGTCACTGCTGCTCCGGTGGGCGGAGCTCCAGGTGGAGTCCTCTGGGCAGTCGCCAGCCACCTACATTAGGACCCCACCTGGAGCTCCGCCCACCGCAGTGACGCGACGCTCCTCCGCTCCGCCTGCCCAGAGGACCCCACCACGGAAGGTAAAAACAAGGTAGGTAGAAAAAAAAACAGCGCAAGCTTCGGCGCTATGCATCGGGGCATTTTGACAAGTACTTGTCAAAATGCCTTGTATCGGGCCCGATTCCGATGCTTGTATCGGGCCCGATTCCGATGCTTGCATCGGTATCGCGACATCGCTAGATTTAGGGTAAAGAGAACTAGATCTGAAGCCTGGAGCTCATTTAAACACTGTGTTTAGATTAAGGGCAGTAAATTTGCAAAGTTTATTGAAGCATTGGAGGAAAAGGTAATTAAAGGAATCTGCTAGGTGGAGACAGGAATTAGCGACGAGGGCACTGTAGGCCTAAAGGAAAGGCTACTGAATTTTCCTAGCTCACTTGTAAACCGGACATTCTGCCAAACCTATCTACCTCCAGCAGCAAATTGGCAAAAGGATGATTCACAGCTATCCAGATGTAACCAAACCTCTTCTTTCATTGTATCCCAAAGAAGATCTTGGCATGCCCTATCAAATAACCTTACGTTTTGGGACCACGTGGGCTCCCTTCATCAGGGCAGAGATGTGACCTAGGTGCCAGGTCACATCTCTGCCCTGCGTGGTCCCGAAACGTTGGATTATGTGATATGTGTGACCTTTAGTCCAAATAAATGGACATTTATTGAATTTCATTTGCTGAGTCCAGGTGATTTCTATCCTTCATTGACTGTTGTGCACGGCGCCATCCGTGATCATCACTGCGAGCACCACTATTGTTACTTGGACCGGAAGCGATGTAAGGAGTGCAGGGGGACCTACTGTTTTCTGCTATCAAATAACCTAACAACATCCACAGACATCATGAGTTTAGTTTGGTTAAATGTCTTGGCCTGAAATATTTAAGTATACAGTCTCTGTATATTGTCATAGGTGCATTGTATTTTTTTTGCTACAACTTTAATATCTTATTTAATCTAAATCATTACATGGTTATATCATTAAACAGTAGAGGGGTTTAAATAATATTCTCTAAGGATCTTGTTAATTATTGTTATCTTGTTGTTTACCAAGCCATTATTGTTCCCTCATCCCTAGTAAGATGCTAATTGAATAATACTAATTAACTTGTCTTAGATTTATAAATACTAAGCTCTGTGTTCCCTGTTCAGGGTGGAAAGGAAGGCATTTTTAAAGGTTTGCAAAGATTATTTATTTACAGGTAAACATACATAACTATAAGTGTCTACAAGAAACTATATGTGTCTCATTGAGCTTCAGATTATATTTACATACATGATCACTAAATCACCATACAATAATAGCCATAATAATACATTTACAGTAATTTTACATAATGTCAGATATTGTGAACTAAATTGTGTAATGGATTTTTCATATCTAGAAAGTAAAAATCCCATAAATAATTTAACCCTGTATAGTTATAACCGAGTTCCTTGTTTTTTGTTTTTACTGCAGTTCTACTTTTTTAATAATTCAACAGCCAACAATACATCAATATGGTAACTATTTCAAGTTATTATCCAGTACTTTTAGCAGTAGATATTTTCACAATCTCTTTAACATTCAGACCCGAAAACACTCTGTTTTCAAATGCATAATTGTTATGAGTCTGGACAAGTGAGGTCATATAGCCATATGTGAACTGTTGAGCTTTGTATGGCAAAGCTGTTTGTATTTCCAACCCAGCACCAATATGCTATGGTATATTATATGCAAACAGTTGCCTTTAGACTACTTTCTAAAACCATGAGTACGTTGATTAAGTAAAAAATTCATCTAGAATTGCACTATTAATTTATTTGTAAATAATTGCCTTTATCGTTATCTTCTTTAGACATCAACATTATGAACAATGGAACAAATAAACAAAACAACAGTGAAAGAATTTGTTCTACTGGCTTTTTCCAATCTCCAAAAGTTTCAGATCTTACTTTTCATTATTATACTCCAAATGTACATCATAAGCATCGCTGGAAACTTAGCTGTCATTACCTTAGTTAAAACTGGAACTTCACTCCATTCTCCAATGTATTTTTTCATCAGTGTCTTTGCTGCTTTAGAAATCTCCTTTGTGTCTGTTACCATTCCAAAACTCCTTGCCAACTTGATTGCAGCAGGCAATAAGATCTCTTTCATAAATTGCTTTGCACAGTTATATGCATTTAATGCACTTGGTGTAACAGAGTGCTATATGCTTGCAGTTATGGCCTTTGACAGAGATTTAGCAATTAACCATCCTTTAAGGTATTCTGCAATTATAACCACTACAGTTTGCACTGCTTTGGCAATATTTCCGTTTACAATAAGTTTTATCATTGCTTTAATACCCACTGTTTTTACAGCTGATTTGTTATACTGTGGGCCCAATGCAATCAACCATTTTTTCTGTGACTTGGCTCCAGTGCAGAACTTAGCTTGTTCTGATCCACTAATTAGTAATTTAGTCACCAGCATTGCAGCTGTTTTTGCCAGTTTGACTCCTTTTATTCTTATCTTAGGTTTCTACACACACATTATTATCACTATAGCCAAAATTAAGAGTATAGAAGGGAAAAACAAGGCATTCTCCACTTGCTCCTCCCACCTCACTGTTGCCTGCCTCTTTTATACTTCAGTCATCATAGTGTACATAAAGCCAAAGGGTAGCCATTATGATAAGTTTCTTGCTCTTATGTACACAATTGTTATTCCATTTTTAAATCCATTTATTTATACTTTAAGAAATAAAGATGTAAAGGATGCTTTTCAAAAATTAAACATTTTCAAGTTGAGAATTTTCTAATTTGAATGATGCATATAATCACAATTCCTAGCCTTATTCAATATATTTCTGTCTTTGAGTTCGACATTTATACACATACAATATAAATAAGAAAAAAAAATAATTGATTTAAATTTTTGATTCAACAAAATATTATAAATAATAAAAAAATTTAAACGGTATGGGCAAAACAAGATGGGACCCTAAAACTAACATTTTGTTGTCCAACCTTTAGAGGCAATCACTGCAAATACAATTTCTGTAGCTCTCAATTAGACTTTTGCACCTGTCAACTGGTAGTTTGGTTCATTATTCTCAGGGCCGGTGCTAGGATTTTTGCCAACACAGGCAAAGTTGAATTTTTGAACAATAGCATTGCTTTGCCTGATAGTAAGTGGAGAAAATAGAGAACACTTGGGTAATACAAGATCAAGGTATGAAAACTATGTTTTCAAAAGTACTCCAACTAGGCTGGTGTGCCAGGAAAGGTCAATATTGACAATGGCACTTACCTGCTGGCCACCCTTCACTTGGGAAAAATCACACATGTACATTGTCTAACACATGACCTCAACCTGGTGGTGCAGCTGTTTATGAAGAAGTACTCTTTGCGTGGCCATACCTAGCCGTGGCTCGCCTAGCAGAAATGCAAGGACAACATCGCTGCCTGCCAACCTCTTCTACTGTGACACCCTTATGCAACGGAATGCAACATTGGCCATATTGGAGAGGCTATAAGTGCCATGCCTTTGACAAATACCAGTGTGATTATAGTAGAAGGAGAGGAGGAAGAAATTTGTCAGGCTTCATGGGGGACATTTCACTCCTCCCAAACCCTGGTTGTTGTATGTGGGTGGGGTTAGATTGTTGAGGATTCAGGGTCCTCCGGTGCTGCTGGTAATTTGTGGTTAATGGGGTCTCTTCTGTTCAAATGTCTGTGCAAGGACCTCAGGATTTGCGTCAACAAAGAAAGAGACCACTATTGGGTAGCTACCCTAACAGCAGTGGTGGCAGCTGCCTCAGTGCCCCTGGATGCAGGCAGCAATCACAGTTAGCACATGAACCACATAATGTGGACTTCATCAGGTCCAGGGCTGATGTTGACATTCTTAGAAGAGAGAATTCCATGGACTATTGGGTAAACAGGGTGGCCCATTGGTTGGACCTTGACCATTGGTTGGACCTTTGCAGTGGAGCATCTATATTTTACTGCAGCCAGTATGCTGTCCAAAAGGGCATTTAACGCAGCAGGAGGTTGTGTTTCAGAGAGGCAAATCTTGCAACTACTACCAGCTCTTGCCATCTCTCCTGACCTATTCTGGTGTTTTGAAGGCTGTCAAGGGGTCGTGTTTTGGAACTCAAAAACACATTGGCTACTCTACTTGAATGTTCCCTGACACTAATGTTATAAAGTTGTATCTGGACTTTTTAAAGCAGTGTGGAGCTTTTGTTTTCATGGGAATGTTGTCCACTTCTTGTATTGGGGCGTTCAGCTTGTGTGACAATGTGAACGTCTTCTTCCTGAAGAAACCTTTCACTCGAGAAACACATTGAGCACTAGTCGCAGCTATACATCATCTTGTCTGTTCAAGTGTGGACTATTGCTAAAGTTGATTTGAACATATAGACTGCTCAGTATGTGGATGGATGGAGTAGTTACAGAAGATGTTTGCAATTATGATGATTCAAATTTTTTTGTGTCTTGTCATGTATATAGATGTAGATTATGGTTTTAATATGTAAAAATAATATCTAGAAATAAAATACCTTGTTTTAATAAACAATTTGTTTAGACACCTTAAAAATCCTGTTTTCTATTGGTTCAATTATATGATTGAAGGGTGTGGTGTTCATATCTAGGATCACGGCCCATTTTGAGTGTACACTCTAAACAATACTTGTGGTTAAAGTTTCTCAGATAATACACTGTAATTTCTATTTCAGGATAGAAGCTGCTTCAATCCTTTTTTAATTGCAGCTGAAAACATTACTATTTCAAGATAATTGTAATACAAAAATTAGGAACCATCACACAAACTGGGACACCACCCCTATATATGCAATATATATCAAGTCAATTGATTCATGTATATAATAAAATTCCATTTTTAATATACTCAATTCATAATGTCTATACATATAAATATGCTAAAATTCATCCATATAAAAAACCATAAATAGATGTAAACAACATAAATAACCTCCCTAGAAACCCACACAGAAACCATGATTATGAATTCATATATTGGTCATTGCCCTCATTATATTCATATCTTATTTGCATGATTAATTGTACATAATTGTTCTGTATATCATTAGTTCAGCCATGATTCTGTGCTTGCTCCAGTCTTCAACGCGTTTCGCCGAGGTTTCGTCAGGAAGATTGAGAGGTTAACCTATAGTATTTGTATGGGTATGAGAATCAATTTGCAGTAGTCTACATGATATTAGATATATCAGAATCATTAATATCTGCTGACCATATATCTTTATAATGCAGTAAATACCAACTTAATTATTCTTTTTCCGGTAATTGAATATCCATCTGCAGGGAGTCTCCCCACCCAACCAGGAGACCAAGATAAAACATACCTTTTCCTTCCCCCTTTTATTGCATCCTAACCAAGTTGCTTACATACTGTCCAGCCACTAAACAATATCTTTTTATTGCAAAATAAAACCTGCTTTGTCTCTCTCTATTTGCTGCCTATTCAAGTGCATGCTTATTGTCTCAATGCTTTCAAGACAATGCAGTATGGTACCGTGAACAAAAAAGAAGCTCATGCACTACTATTAAACTGTTGTGCCACTGGACAATTTGGACAATTTGTGAGGTGCTGAGGGCTTGAGGCTTTTTTTTTTTTTTTTTTTATACTTTCACTTGTTAAAGAAGAACTCTGGGCAAAATGTTTATTAACCTTTGTAGTGGGACTACCCCTGAACTGCGAGGGTTAACTGCTCGTTTTAGTCTAGGGAGGACATTAAAAAAGTTATACTCACCCGTCCTTCCAGCCTCCCTCCCCTCTGCTGCAGCAGTCTAAGGTTCTTGAGTCATCATGTTCTATACACTATTTATAGGATGTGAGGATGCAGAGGGACATAATTCGGGCCTACTACTGCTTGATGAAAAATCAGGAGTCATAGCTAAAACTACCTGAAAAGACTTATTTTCAAATTGAAATTAAGCAGATGAAGCTGCTTCTGCTATATTTAGGCCAAGCTAAGTGTAAAAGTTGAAAAAACTAACTACCCATCCATAATATGTGATATTAGAATACAGTCTTAGTGATGACATCTTTGTAAATTGTACTTTTACATAACACCACATACACAGGGCCGGATTTACTCTCCCTGCTGCCCCAATGCGCCCCCCTTCTGGCCAACCCCACCCCCATGGAGAATGGCAGATCTGCAGGTTGCATACAAGTGATCTCAATGACCTTGCCAAGATCACTTGTTACAAACAAGTGGCAACCTCCCTGTACATTTAGCTCTGCTTGCCTAAAGCAGGGCTAAATGTAGAGAAGAACTACCTGCCAGTCACCCGGAACTGCATGTCCCAGGCATCGGGAGATGGGAATTTCACACCCCTGCTGCCCCTCTACTTCCTGCTGCCCCAAGGACTGGACTTGGTTGGCCTTGTGGCAAATACGGCCCTGCACGTACAGCTAAAAGGCATCCCCCAAGCATGTGATTTAAAGGATTGGTGTTTTATTCATGTCACCCTCAAAGCCACATTATAGAGACCCAGTTCACGCTGTATGGCATTTTTTTTTTGCCTTGTTAAATGTCCCCTATGGGAGTTCAAATGCTCTCCAACAGTGTCTCTGAACCACTATCTACAAAGTGGATTTCCTAATAGTGACTAGTGATGGGCCGAACACCCCCATGACCCAAACGGGCGAAAAGTTTGAATACGAACTCGATCCTAATGCAAGTCAATAGGGGTAGAACTTTTGAAAATTGTCCCCTTTAAGAGGGCTTATATGCAAGTTATTGGCCATAAAAGGTGTATGGGGGTCCAGTTACTGCCCTGGGGGGCAGGAATCAATGAAAAAAAAACAAAAAAAAAACCTTTTTGAAAAGGAGTGATTTTAACATCACTTAAAGGGTAAGAATAAAAATGAAAAATTCCTTCAAAATATCGTGCCTGGGGGGTCCCCTTAACCTGCCTGTGAAGTGGCGGATCTCTAGGATGTCAAGAACCTGTTGCAGCAAAAAGTGACATCTAAAAAGAAAAATATTTTTTTTTTTTTTACTCTTAAAGTGTGCAGTTCCCCTTCCCAAACAATACCAGACCCTTTATGTCTGGTAGGAATGTTAGGAGGGACCATTTTTAAAAAAAGCATAGGGTTCCCCCTAAAAGTCATACCAGACCCTTGAGGTCTGGTAGTTATATTTAGGAGGGATCACGTGTAAAAACAAAAACAAAAAAAGTGTGTGGGGTACCCCCTCAAAGTCATACCAGTCCCTAAAGGTCTGGTAGGAATAGTGAGGAGGGACCCCATGTAAAAAAAAAAAAAAAAAAAACCCGATCATCCAGCGGCTCCTTCGGGGGTGAGCGCTACACGGGTTACCCCTTAAAATTTCTACCAGGCCCTTAAGGTCTGGTAGGAATTTTAAGGAGGAACCACACCCCCAAATATGGGGGGGAAACGTGGGGTCGCCCTAAAATTCCATACCAGACCCTTGATCCGAGCATAGGCCTGGCAGGGCCGGAAAGGGAGGCGGGACGAGCGCCCCCCCCTCCCCACCACACCAGGCCACATGTCCTCGGCACTGGGAGGGTGTCCCCGTGCTGATGGGGACAAGGGCCTCGTCCCCACAACCCTGACCCGGTGGTTGTGGCGGTCTGCGGGCAAGGGGGCTTATTTGCATCGGGGTACCCCTTTAATTAGGGGGCACCCAGATGTCGCCCCACTCCCTTGTGAATGAGTAAGGGGTACTTGTACTCCTACCCATTCACTAAAGGGTTAAATCGTTATTAAAAAGTCCAGATTTTTGATAAAATCCTTTAATTG